ATAAAAAGTCGATTAATCGATTAGTCGAAAGTCGATTTATATATTCCTAGTTCAGAAAAGTTACGTGTTGAGGGAATTTGTCGTGCAAAATAAATATATTCAGGTTCAAATTGTAAACCTTTTAATTTCAAATAAAAATGGCTGGACTCATAAGACAAGTATTCAGAACCAACTTCACACAACGTTTACCTGTTGTCCTTACCCAATCACATAGATTCTACTCGGCGGATGCACCACAAACCTTTACCAAAGAAGTGCTGCAAAAATTGGTGAACACCAATAAAGTTGTCGTGTTTATGAAAGGCAATCCCGAGGCACCTCGTTGTGGTTTCAGTAATGCTGTGGTGCAGATCCTACGTATGCATGGTGTACAATACGATGCCCATGATGTTTTGCAAAGTGATGAACTGAGAGAGAGTAAGTTGTTATTTTTGTTGGTACAAGTCTATTAAAGGGCCAGGTTGCAGATCATTTTGATAATTTTTACCACAGATAACACTGATTGCAACGATATAATGAAACAAAATAACTATATTGAAAAGTACTTACCCAACTTTGAAGACCCATATATCGGGAGGTATGGAAAACTTCGATGTGTGATAACTATATTTTTGTAATCAGTGCTTTCAATTGATACCTACATTGACTTAGATAATTTTCAAAGGCATGGGAAAAAGAAGATGCCAGCGGATTTTCACAATTATTCAGTGATTCGCATACCATTATTGAATTCTAATTCTAATTTGTTCTCTGACTACTATTTGGTCTGTTACAGAACTGCGAAAATGTACAATTTTTTTTTCTTTTTAATTTGATGAAATTTGATTTAACTAACAAATACTATTTTCCATTACAGAAATTAAGGAATTCTCGGAATGGCCTACAATTCCACAAGTTTTCATCAATGGTGAATTTGTTGGAGGCTGCGATATTCTTCTACAAATGCATCAAAGTGGCGACCTCATCGAAGAACTGAAAAAGGTTGGCATTGAATCACTTCTCCTTCAAGAAGCAAACGAATCTGACAACAAGAAAGAAGGGAAATAAATATGTAAATTTAGTTACGTAGATAACCGATTTTGTTCATATTTTAGTTTTTTTAATTGTTTAAAATAAAATGTTGTTGAAATATTAAAATAAGTAATTTGTTCATGTATCGACAAGTTAAACCTATATTAACAGATTAGAAGAAAAGCAACGTCTATTTCAGCGCTAATTCAGAACATGAATTCTATTGATAATTTTTTTTAATTTTTAATGAAAATGGTTCTGTAATATCTTCACGAAAGAAATGTTGAATTGTGTGATAATTCGGTTTAAATTGTATTCCCAACTCATTTTTTTGGAGAAAAATTGATTTCTGTACATATTTTGCGTTCTTAGTTAATAGAGCAACTTGTTGCCTATGGTTTTGTTTGCAGTCAGGCCATGTTCGCATATAAGCTATAATGCAATTTTTGTAATGTTAAGGACTTGGTGCGTATTTTCGCAAGATTACGTTGTAATGTATATGTTGAAGACTCATATAAGGGTACCTAATAAAAAGTGTCAGTCGTAAGTTATATGATTTTATTAAATAGTTGAAGAGGTAGCTGAACTTTTTGCCGAGTTAACCTACTTTATGAAGATTAATTTGACTATTTGAATCCATTGGGTCAACGAAATCAATGTAGGGTTGTTAAAAGATTATCTATCCATTCGGTTCAAACTGAATTAAAAATTTTTTAAACGTTGACTCTTTGCGCGGGAGGTACCAGAAGGAATGGTGGGTCCGATTTTCGGCCTTAATTTAGGTTTGATAAAAGTATTCACCCCTATTCCGTAAGTCGTCGTCGTTGTCGACGACGTTTCTCTTTCGACATCACTTCGCATCGACATCGACATCACTTCGACACTGATTTGGTATTCTGTAACACTCATGCGACAATGTCGACTATTTATCGATAATATCAATAAAAACAAAAATTTTGTTGCATATTTTTGGGCAAAAATGTGTTTGTATCCTTCACCGCACTGTGGCACAGGGCATTATGTCTTGGTAAATGTGTTTGCAACGACCAAAAAGAAACGAGATAGACCCATAGTTACTTTTTAGTATATAGTATGTACATAGAATTATTTTTCAGTCGATTTGTGCATGTCCCTCCATTCATGTATTATTTTAAACAAGTTACATGCCACCATTATGATCCGAACGGGATGAAATTTGGAAAAAAATCCATCCAATTGGGATGAAATTTTCTTTCCACATAGACATTGACATTGGTAAAAATCGGTTTAGATTTATATATAGATCCCATATATTTTTCTTTATTTACACTTTATTTTGCATTAAGTATTGAATAGATTCTAGAATGATATATCCTGTTCTTGTCCGGTCATGTTTTTTTTTTTAATTTCAAAAAAAAAATGTTCAAACGCTTCAGTCGTCAACAAAAACTATGACGAAGAAATCTTCGACATCGTCGTCGTCACACATTGTTACGGAATACCAAAAATGTTTCAATAGTTATCGATAAATGTCGACAACGACATAGGGAATACCAATTTGCAAAAGACGACTCTCTTCGACGTCGTTTCGTGTCGACGACGACATACAGAATAGGGGTGATTATTTTCCGTTCCGTTAGCTTTTACTGAATTAATAAATGTTCAAATTTTTGAAACTCTGTGAGGGAGGTACCAGAAGGAGAGGACCGGGGCCCATCGTCTCTTTCCTTCTGTTACTTGATCTATGTAAGATAACACATTACGATGTGCAAAGTTTCCATGAAATTGGATATTCCGTTCTCTTCATTTCAGATTTACAAGTTTTCAAAATGTTGACCCTTTGTGGAGGAGGAGCCGATGGGTCCCATTTTCAATCTTGATTTAATTTTGAAATATATATTACGATATGCACATTTTGTATCTTATCTCAGATTCCATTCGCCTAATATTGGATTTATAAATACGGCAATTTTTTACAATTGCAAAAGGAATGAAACGTTACGATCCAAAATCGAGAAGGGAACACTATGAATTGTTTGTTTCATTCATAACAAAATAATTATGCCATGTACAGACGACTTTTGTACGTTGTTAAATTCGAATCACCAAGAATTTTGTCCCATCCCTAACATTTGAGAGTATTTATCGAAAATAAATTAATTTTGACAGTTTGAAAATATGAAATTTTCAAACTTTTTCAGTAAAATTGAAAATGATGAATGAAAAGTAACAAATTGTCTAGTTTTTATATATGCAGAAGGAAGTAAATTTTGTAATCTACATAATGCAATATGCATTTCTTTCCCTTTTGCTCTAATTAGCGTGCAAAACGAGAAACAAATGTGGGGGAACCCAAACAAAAATTCACCAATTTTTTATATGTCACATTTGAATTGAGAAAATATAAAAAATTATTCATAGCAACAATATTTTCGGAAAAAATGGAAAACATGAATTAAAAGCAAATAGATATCGATATATTTTCAGGAAAGAAATAACGACAGCCAACCTGTTACAACAACAACATACAGATTTTCTTTTTTGATGATTATGACATTCTACTTTGTATTTTTGTACCATACTTGCACGATGGTGCAATAATAGAAGTTGGGTATGTTTGTGGGCATCATAGACTCGCCTTTGACATTTTTATAGTTGCTTCCACAGTGGAAATGCTCTTGCTTATGACATTCTACTTTGTATTTTTGTACCATACTTGCACGATGGTGCAATAATAGAAGTTGGGTATGTTTGTGGTCATCATAGACTCGCCTTTGGCATTTGTATGGTTGCTTCCACAGTGGAAATACTCTTGCTTCCATTCCATGCCCCTGCTGCTACCCACTTGAAGACCGAATTTAAGCTTCGTGACCCACATCTGCATCAGCAAGTACAACTGCTAAATTACTACCATCCCGACGGGATTTCAAATAATTTAATTAGGGTGTATATTTATGTCCTTGGCCCACTTATAAGTATCAGTTGATGACCAACATCTTCCATTAGGATAATGTTTCATACCGGTAGAATAGCTATCAATGGCTTCTGTTGATACACCCATATGGATCAGACAATACGTTGGACTTAGTCTTTTTTAAGTCAAATTTGTTAATTTTCTAATTAACAAATTACTCATTTTTTGTTAAAAAAAATAGAATTACAAGAAAAAGCTTAATTATAAAAGGAACACTTGAATTATTTGGAGAAGCTTTAACGTGGATAATTTGTCTTTTTTTCTCGCAAAAGATTTTAATTTTAATATTGACTTGGTGTTTGTTTACCGACAGAAAAAAAAATGATCGGATTAAATAGTCTAAACGTGTTTTTAATTTACTTAACCATCAAATTTGCTCGTGTGACCACTGACTTTAGGATTCTTGCTGGTTCTGGAACATATAATATTAATTGGACTTGTTGAAACGTATGGTAATATCTTCATTTCACATTGAACAAACCCCTTTGCAACGTTGCCAGATCAATTGAAACAAGCAAATACTAAACGATTACTCTGATTTCTCTTGTTGGCACATCTGTTTTATCGTTATCGCTATCGTACAAAATTCCAATTCGAATCGAAATGGATTTTGCCATCACAGTAACTTCGTGGAATGTGTGAATTATTGGGGAAAAAAGTAATAAAAAAAGTTATTAACAATAAAATTAAATGTATTTTTTCTTCATTGGGAACAAAGACAACAAAATTCCAATTAAAAAAAGTTGCAATTTAGATATTCTTGAAATGTTTGTGTGGTGAATTTGTCGAAGTGTTGTCCATGAAAACTGTGTGTGTGTTTTTAACGAAACTAGGTGGAAAACAAAAAAGAAAAGAAAATTGCAACACCATCAGTCGCTGACAAAAAAAAAAGAAAAATCCAATATTCCCCAAATACACAATCAAACGAAAAATAAATAGAAATAAAATTTACACAATTGTTAACCAAAATTTTAAATATTGAAATCTTTAGTCCAATATTGAAGTCGTTTGTAAAACAAGTTACATTGTGAAAACATAAAAATAGACATGAATCGTACCGATGGTTTGGTAAGACGTACTGTTCGCTCCCGTGAAAATGGTGCTGATTCAGGCAGTGCGTCCGGAAATGCCAATACACCCGACGACAATCAAGACTTGCAAGAAAACAAAGATCACGAGGATAATATCGATGATGGCGACTCCAAAGAGACACGTTTAACGTTAATGGAGGAGGTGCTATTGCTGGGTTTGAAAGACAAAGAGGTTAGTTTTGAATGAGAGTTTTTAATGAAAAACAAAAACAACAACTACAACAGTTTGGTTTCACAACAATATACTGTGGCTTACAGCAGATTTGGACTATTCCAGTATAGCTGCATTTTCTATTATTTGCATTTACATAAATGTCAAACAAACTTGTTTTTACATTTGGCAATTATTTAATTTCCACATTGTCTGTCAACAAGCTGCTGAGACCACCATCATCACCATCGTCGTCGTCATCATTACCTTAATTACAATCATAATAGTAATCAAAAAAAAAAAAAAAAAAAAACTCAGCACCTCATCACCAACCAGCATCATCATATTCCACATCATCTTTTTTTTCTTCTTGTGTTTTGTGCAGTTTATTTGTTTGTGTATTTCATGTGTTATTTCTCCTTTTATTTTTTCTCAAGTGTTTTGTGTTTTGATGACGTTGTTCGTTGGTGTTGTACTTTGTTTTTTTTGGATATTTCTTATCTACAAGTTATTTAATTGATTAGGTTGGGGGAAATGTAAAGGAGAGAGACGGTGAACGGGCCGCGAGCGAACGAGGTGGGGATAAAACCGATTGTTGTGGTGACATCCATCTGTTCGTTGTAATAAATTCTTAGTCATTGCGGCAACTTGTTGGAGGTTGCATTCATCAGCTATTAAGGCATATAAACCACATTTGGCAAAAATAAAATGCGTTGCAAACATCGTCAATGTTTTTGTTTTTGGCTTATAATTGAAGTCATTGCCAAAGATCGTACATAGATCTAGAAGTGAGATTTTTGGGTTATGACTCTTGTACGTACTTTGAATAAGTTCGAAATAATGGTGACGAAATCTATAAGTGCAAATCATAAAATTTTATAAAAACCTAGCCACCAAAATTAAATATAGGAAATGGTTTCTGAACAAAGTTGAACAAATGTACAACTGAAATAAATATAATTCCGAGAGCATTTTAAGACGCTTACCCTATTTAACAAACTCTTGGAGTTTTTAGAATGTTTATAGTTTGTACCTAAGGAATAAGAACTTCTTCAAGTACATACAGCTGTGTTCATTAAAATAGTAGTGCAGTTTACTTCTAAGTACTAAACTGTAAAATTGTTAAAAAAAACACACATTTTTTTCTAGATCAATTTCGCAAGCTTTTGAGTCGCTTGCTCAGACCATAGTAGCATCTGTTGGCCAAAACTATCCTTCTCCAAATTTCAAAACTGATGTCATTCGTTTTATTTATGGTGGTACCAAGGTATATAAAATCTTTAACTACCTCGAAGCTGTAGTTCTAAAGTTCCACAGTTGATCTGAGTCTACTGGACGTCTTGCGCGTTGATACTATCAGCCTGGTTTTCTCGCCATTTACTGCCACACCCACTTTGGTGGACTCCTTCTCAATTCGTTCTATTATCGCTCTCAATGTTCGACCCATTATGTCGATGTCATCGGCATAGGCGAGTAACATGTGTTGTTTGGTGTACAGAGTGCCAGTTCCAGCAGGATGTTAAAAAGATCACACGACAATCTGTCACCTTGTCTGAATCCTCGTTCGGTATTGAAGGGCTCCGATAGGTCCTTTCCAACTTTAACTGCTGACCTTGTGCCACATATATATTAATTTTCCAGGAATGCCGAACGTATACATGGCTTTAAACACCGCTGAACGGATAGGGCTGTCGAATGCGGATTTATAGTCGACGAATAGGTGGTATGTTTCGATGTATTTTTCGTGGGTTTTTCCAGGATTTAGAGCTGAGTGAAAGGCTGGTCAACGGTGTATTTGCCAGGTCTGAAGCCGCATTGATATGGTCCGATGATGTCATTGACCATTGGCTTCAATTGTTCACACAGCACACTGGATAGCACTTTATATGCGATGGGAAGGAGACATATTCCTCTATAGTTGGCACATATCGTCTTGTCTTCTTTTTGTGCACGGGACACAGGATGCTGGGGTTCCAATCATTGGGTATGCATTCCTCTAGCCAAATTGTACTAATCAGCATGCACTCTGACCACCAGTCGTGAATAGTTCGGCTGGTAACCCATCGGCACCTGCGGCTTTAATTTTCTTCAGCCGATTAATTGCTACTCTGACCTCATCTTGTATACCACACTCTATACCGTATTATTGGTTCTGGGGTATCTCTTCACCGCTACTATTTGATACCAGAAGTTTTTTAAATTGTTCCTTCAACGCTGCCTGTATTTGTCGCCAGATTTCCTTCTTCATATCTACAGAAGGATGTGTCTGCACCAAGGCTTCGGTTTGATGTTTTACTCGTTGGTAAAACTTCCAGACTTCATTCTGGCTCCTATACATCTCGATTTGCTCTTCTCTCCTTTTCTCCCGATAATTTTCCATCGCTACTGTCTGCAGTGTTGCCCTATACGCTGCGTTCTTCGCCTCAGTAGCATTACGAAACTCCTGATCGTACCACGGGTTTTTGCTGCAGTTTGTAGGGAGTGGCCAATTCTTTGCCATTGTGCATCTATATTATTATCGGGACAAGGAGTGCTTTCGTCAAGCAAGTGGTAAGTTGAGCGTAGTAGGCTTCTGCTATATGTTGTCTTTGAAGCTTTTCGACGTGGAGTTTCCGTGTTACAGTAGATCGGACCTTTGCTGCTGCAATAAGACGGTGCGAACCTTGGCTGCCGCAAGGTAATTGTCCGAATTTTCCGACGTTTGGACCAAAAATACTTTCCCTTCCGCTTTTAAAGCCAAATTCACGTTTCGTTTCATGACAGCTACAATACAGGGCGTGATAATCTGATTTACTTAAGCCAGTCTCTTTCCATCGCATTTCCTGTAAGGCAATAATATCGGCTTTGTATTTCTTGAGTACGTCCGCCTAGGCGAAAACTACGCCTGTTCTGTACAACGTGCGCACATTGCAAATGCAGATTCGCAGATCGTGGTCCTTTATAGCAACAGCCCTTTTTTATATGTAGTTCTTATGGGCGAACTCGCAGGACATATTAGCTCACCATTTCAACGGACGATGAAAGTAGCTACCCCAGATGACACCGCGGGGATGAAAGAGAGGCCAAGATATGCCTGGGCTTCGCCATGTTAAAGCCAATCAGAGCCGTTGCTTGGTATCTATGATCACCTACGTCACCCGTATCGCTGTGTACAGGAATATAAAAAACGGATAGACAGATTTTCCGACTAATTACAACCAACACGTTTGATATACGAGTCAATAATACAGAAATTCAAAGGTATCTTTTCATAGGGACTGATATAAACATTCACCACATATTAAGAAAACAAAATTTGAAATTACAGCTAATTCCGTTGAAAAAACACATCCACAATCCTCAAAATACCGAAAATCAGTGGTACCGATATATGGGGGCTATACCACTTAAAAGTAGATCCATATTGATAATTTTTGGTTAGGTGGTTTTAACCCAATGAGAAATTAAAATATCAACCTACAGCCAATTCGATTTAAATCTTGGATATTCTTGGATAATGATATACACTTGACCAAACTAGGATATACACTTGACCAAATATTTCGAAGAAAGGGTTAAAGTATCTACCTTATTGAGGGAGTGGTGATATCCATCAATTAGCGTGCGAAATCCCGCAAAATAGTATTGGAGGTCTACATCTCGGTTTCATTTGCTTTGTCTGTAATATGACAAATGTTGTGAGCCATCTCTAGCAAACTCGTCAACAGATGGTGTCTATTCTAGAAGTACTTAATGTCAGAGATTTTCAAAGTTGATATGGTCTTAACCAACCATGATTGCTACAGTGAATTTAGTTCAACAAGAAGGAGTAATGAATTGGGAGTAGGGTGTGAGATGCCCGTTCATGTTTAATTGAACTATTGATTTGTATATTAATCACCCCACATTGAGCAAGCTCCTCCACAAGTTCAATGCATTTGCTATTGTTGTGGGTAGGAACCCACGACTTACTTGTACCAAAAAAATAATATTCTGCTTTTGTCATTCCTCAATCTGTCAAGACACCATAAAGTTTTGAATCCATTTGCAGGGTGCACAGTGGCCCTGCATTTAAAATTCAAAAATATAATTTCTACTATAAATTTAAAAAATAATTTAATACACAAATGTGAATTTAAGTCGCCTAATCATCTAAAATAATCAGTTGATATATTTTTTGAAAAAAAAAAATAACAGTGCGATGAGTAATACCGGAAGGTTGTTTGTTGAATGTTCGTGTGATTGTGCCACAACAATGGTTTTAATTTTCAATAAAACATTATCACACTATACTACTGCCGAACGTGATGGGATTTGGCTACAACAATTGAGATAAAGAATCAAGTAATAAGAATTATCAACAGTTTTAGTTTTTATTCTTTTTTGAAATTGAAAACTGAATAGTTGAATGATAAAAAAACAAAAAAATTCAAATTTGTGGGAGATGAAAATAATGTGTTCAAAAGAAATAAAAGAGACAAAAACAAGTAAATCAAAATACATATAAAAATTTATTATCACATTTAACCCTTTTGTAACGATAAATTCAGTTTTAGATATTTCTGGTTGGCAATTTTCAAATTAAAAAAAACACATTTTCTTTTAAGTGTTCGTCTTTCTCTTATCTCACGGTTTCATAACGTCTATTTTACACGTCTCTTGTACTAGTCAACAAAAAATGGAACTTAATTTTGTCATTTCTACATTTAGTTTCATTTCATTTTTATATAAATTTGTACTGATAAAAATTGTTGATTGTTTTCTCTTGTATTTTCTGGTTTTGTTTACTATTCTTTATTCTTTGATGTTGTTTTTTTTATTTTTGCGCCAGTATTCATATGTTCACGCTGTGCTTCATTCATTTAGCGAAACACCCCCATGGCATCGTTGACTGCTATCACTTTTAATTTTAGTAATTGATACTTAAAAAAACCAAAATATGTCATAAATTCTTCCTGCAAATAATTTTCTTAACTATCAGTGACACTATATATGTATAAAGTGTTGTGATTTTTGTTTTTTTGTATTCACTCAACAATTTATGGTGAGTAAATTTATTCGATTGGGTATTAAAGGGGTTTCCAATAAGAATTTGCAATAAATAACATGCATGCGTGGAACTCGACCTGGTTTATATGGCATGGCCACATATTTCAGTTGAAACACTTAAAATTGTTCGTTCAATTTTGGTCGGATTTGAGTTCATACAACGTCTTCTTCTTTGTAGCATAGACCATGACTTGACATAGCCTCTAGAGGAATCATGTGGTGGTGTTAATCGACTGGTTAATTTCTTGAGAAGTTATCAAACTCAAATCAATTGTAACGTGTACCACACACGTTCAGGGCCATATCATTCAATTCGGTCCAAAAACTATTTAGAACAAAATATCTCCAGCCTGATTTTTTAAATCAATATTTAAAAATATTAAAAATATTTTTTCAAATGTCAAAGCTAACAACGAGAATATTCCCTGATTGAGGCTCAGATATGTGGCATTGGAGTCGAAGGTTGTTCCATGCATATTATTAAAACGCACTTCTATCAGATTACTTCAAGTAGAAATTTTCCAAAAAGAAAAAAATATGCAGGAATTCTCTTCGGTCTCTGACTAAGGGATAACCGCTTTATCGCTGACAAAAATTGTTAACATAAGTCGACTTCTGTGATAAAGCTATACACGCGGCCAATTAAAGGCACACTCCTGCTTAAAATGAAATAAATTATGTTTTGATCAACACTGTTTTTATTTAAATTTTATTTGCTATAGTATAAACACATACATTTTATTAATCATTTGAATGCAACTCTTATTTAAATATTTGAAATTAACGGTTAAATATGTAAATATTTTGTAAATAGTACCAAAAACTACATCTCTGAATACCTAAGATCAATCTAATTTCAATAAAATCGCGACACTCCGAGTTTTCTCAGGTTTTACAAAAATCGACTTGTTTATGTTCATAATTTTCTAAAAAATATATTTAACTTGTTTTTATTTCATATTTATTTTTTCTCTTATAGGGTTACACATCATTTTGGAATGATTGCATATCGAGTGGCTTGCGTGGCTGCATTCTTATCGAGCTGGGCTTACGTGGACGTATTATGATGGAAAAGTCTGGCATGCGCCGACGTGGACTATGTTCAAGGTGACTACCAACCTCCCCACAAAAGGACAATACAATTTCTGTGCAAACTAATACCAATGTGTTTATTATAATCACTTTTAGAAAAGTCATATTGAAATCGGATCAACCAACCGGTGATGTACTGTTAGACGAAGCCTTAAAGCACATAAAAGAAACAAATCCACCCGAAACAGTACAGAGTTGGATTGAATATTTAAGTGGTATGTAAATAGTGGACAAAATATATTATTTTTTCAATTTGAAATGATTTCTATATTTTGATCATTTATTTTTCATTTAGGTGAAACTTGGAATCCATTGAAATTACGCTATCAATTGAAAAATGTACGAGAACGTTTGGCTAAAAATTTAGTCGAAAAAGGAGTATTAACAACAGAAAAACAAAATTTCCTATTGTTCGATATGACAACACATCCACTTAGTGATAATGTGGTCAAATGTCGCTTGGTGAGAAAGGTAGGTGTATGCAAATGACTTTATTTATTTATTCGAAAAATGCAATTTGAAGCCATTAAGGCCGATTTCAATTAAATTGCAAACTACATTACTCCATTTAACAAGATTTCTTAATGATATCTTAGAAGGTATTATTCTAAAAATAATAATATATTTGAATGTTTGGCACGTGGCTTCAATCTAAGGATGAAGCCATATATATAGAAATCATTTCAAATATATATAAGTATAAATATATATTCTGCAAGGGAAGACTATAGATTGGAACTGCATAGCTGGCCACAGGCCGATTTATCATTTTTAAGAGGTCTACACTAACTGTCAAATCTATGAGATAGGTGTTAAACCTTTTCACATATCGCTCATTTGCAAGCAAAATCGGCATAAATAAAAAAATGATTTTGCAGAAAATGCGTTTTAAGTTTTCAATCGACTCACAGCTTACAAGGAACAGAAGAACTTCTACAGCTTCTCAATCAGAGTGTGCAAAAGATATTCATCTGAATTTTTTACAAAACATGATTTCTGATTTCTGCATCATTAACTCAAAAAACACGATTTTTGATGTATGCCGGTCTGGCAACAAATGAGCGATATGATGTCCTCAACGACAACACCCGTAACGATCTTTAAGCCTTCTAGAGGGCGTGGAATGAATGTGGCTATAATCGGTAAATTTATTGTTAGTTTTTTAATCTTCGCAGTAAACATTGTGTGTTGGCGTTTTTGGTAGCCATCTTCCACGTAAGGATTGTGGAAATTCCTCACGTGGAAGATGGCTACCAAATCGATGAGATAGGTGTTCAAACTTTCACATATGTCAAACCCATACGTTACACGATCTCTATGCCGTCTGGAGATCTTAAAATATAATTGGTCGAGATGTATTATAGCTCCCAAATATATGTTGTGTTCCGATTTCATGTTATATTAAACAGGTGTTGGATATAGTTTTTATATATAATTTTGTACTATTGATTTCATATGATAATGCACCGAATTAAATTTGTTCAATAGAGTTTTTTTTTTTAAATCTCTTTATTTATTATTTAAAATTTTTGTTTTTTTTTATTCTATTTTATAGATACAAGATTCCGTTTTATCGAAATGGGTCAATGATGCGCAACGCATGGACAAACGTATGCTGGCTTTAATATTTCTGGCCCATGCCAGTGATGTCATTGAAAATGCCTTTGCCCCACTTAACGATGATGACTACGAAGTGGCCATGAAACGTGTCAGAGAGTTGTTGGACTTGGATTTCGAAGCGGAGGCTGCAAAACCGAATGCCAATGAAATTCTATGGGCAGTTTTTATGGCTTTTACGAAATAAAATCAAATTCTTCTTTTTTAATCAAATTAATATTATTTTCTTTCCATTTTTTTGTGTTTAACATATTTCTCTATATATACATATATTATAATTTACGTTTTTAATTAGTAAATTAAAATAATAATAATAATAAAAGAAAAGAAAATTATATATACACAAAAATAACAACAACAACATATACATACAAACATAAAAAATAAAGAAAAAGAAACAAAACATATACACTTATATAAATATATAATTTTTCAAAAAAATACAAAATAACAACTATTGCCACTTATGTAAAAGAAACAACTGTTTTCTCTCTGTGTTTAAAACATATATTTTATTTTTCTAAAATTTAAGAGAAATCCACACATACACACTCCACTCTCTCACACACACACACACACGTCTTTAATGTTACAAAACAAAAGAATGATAATGCATATTAAGTAGAGTGCAGTAAAAAATAAATTAATTAAACAAAAGTAAAAACAAAAAATTATTTTAAAATTTAACTCAAACAAAAAAGAAAACAATGTTTTATATAGGTTTTGATAGTAAGCAACAACAAAACAGAAAAATTAAAACCATTAAAAATTTAAAATATATTATTAAATAAAAATAAAAAAAGAAAATACTTTATTAAAGTAAATATAAGAAGAAGAATTAAACAAATTAATAATCGCATTCTTTTTCTCTGTGTCTTTTCTTTTTCAAATTTTTAGCCCTAAGCTACAATATATGATGTATTGTTTGTTTTTCTTTTATAAAATATTTATTGACATGTTGGGGAATATGTTCCCAAATGAAAGAATTCTATAATTTTTAAATGAAACACTTCGAGAAAAGTAAGTATTAAAAATGTGAACATGTTTGTTTTTATTATTTAACAGGAGAGACGCTTCATTACGAAAATTGCTAACAGAGTTACTCCGGGTAGGTTACTCTGGCTTTTGGTAGTGGCTTATTCTGATTATGTGGTTCGTTTTTACCAATGATACTAGTCATTATCAGGATGCACTAAAACGCCTAATGCGCATATTTCAAGAACTCCAATGGTGGGATGTCAAAGGATTACATCTGTCTATGGGAAACATAGCTGAATACTATCGGACGCATTCAAAGGTTGTGACTTAAATAATCAGTTGCGGACAAGGAAAGTCTCGGATAAAATTACCGAGTGACAAGGATCATTGGGTTGATGAGGCGACTATTAGTTAACTATTTTGTCTAAAATAATCAGGTGTGCATCGCTCCATATTTCTGCCGATTTCAGAGCATTCCTCCAGCTGCTTTAAACTCGATCATAAATATATATTTTTTCGAAAAAAAAAATAATTTTTCGAAGCGCATTTTGTTTCGTCTTTACGGTTGTATGTCGTTGTGATACATATTTGCCACCAGTGTTCAAAAGTCATATAACCGTTATTAAAACTGTATGGTAAATGAACACATCTAGAGCAGACATTGGAGCTGAAGTAAATTTTCCGTCGCCGTCGCCAATACCACATTTTATTACAAAACCGCCACAACATTTTTTATATTCAAATATTGATGATCAGATCTACATCACGATTAACATCGGTGGGGAACTCGAATATATGCACCAGTTATTTTAAGTTAGTCGGCCAATCAGAAGTTGACATTTTTAATCGGCCAAATTTTTCGAGTAGAAAGATTACAAACACAATTTTGTTTTGTGTTTTCTTAAATTTGGTTCAATGTTTTAACAGTTTTGTGGGTTCAGGAACGGGTTTCGAATAAAAAGTTGAAAAACTTGTAAAATTAGTAGATTCTTTTAAGTTCTGAAACGAAACTAGTATTAGATCTCTTTCCGCCGAAAAGCTACCACCACAGTTTACGATGGGAGATGTTGCAAGATTCATCCGAAGGGCTAATTTATCCTAAGTTTTGGGCGCTGTCGGAATTTCCGTTGTAGTTCTTAGCCAAGTACCTAACTAAACCCCCAATTTGTGAATAGCCACCCACGATTCGATTGAGCAAGGTGGTTAATCGTAAATGCCAATTCTTGAAACGGTAAATCCGCTCAGTTTCAGACAAAGTTGTCCAGTTGTAGTTGTAAATAAACATGGGTTTTAACACATATAATTAGAGGACTTGAATCAGAAAACGCCGTGACGTAGAAAAGTATTTACCGTTAATCATACCATAATGTTTGAGGACGTCGACAAACAAACGTTTGATAAACAATTGTGTGTGTGGATGAAAGTTCTACTTAGAGTTCCGAAGAAAGAAGTCTTGACCTCGTAGATTGAAGCAGAAAGTTTCCCCTCGGTGTGGTGTTATTTTCGTAGCATTTCAACCTCTAAACTATTCCAGTACTCCACACCCTGCACATGTGAAAGATTGAACAACGTCATAAATTTATACAGTCGCAGCTATGGATTGAAAATAAATCCAGAATCTTATTATATCTAAACAGCTGGAAGTATATTTTAGTATACACTGTGCAAGGGCTAAAAACAAGTAGGACTACGTTCCTTTGTTCACCATATTGGCTAAGTTTTCTTCCCTAAGGTGGGATATGTTACATCAGCAGCATTGTACCACAGTATTGGGTAAAAATAAAGTGAGCTGGTACTTACTGTTATCTTGTATTATTATAGCATGAATACCATCAAAATATTTTTTAATTTGTATTTCTGTTTATTTTTTAATGTTTTTACATAATTTCTAAGATAAAAATGTGTACGATTGTTTCGGTATATATATGTGTGTGTATTGTATTTTGTTTCGCCTTGTATAATAAATCGTAATGAAATAAAAACTAACATGCAATGAATAAAAAAAAGAAAACACAGAAAATTGTATGGGTATATATTTTTAATTGTTTATCTATTTTTTAACAAATTTTGAATGTAAGCATTCTTTTAAAGAACTTTATTGCAAAAAAAAAAAACTCGAAAGGAATATAAATACAGTAATACAGCACAGAATTTAATAAAAATCCATTTTAATTAAACATGGTACACAATGTATTGGTGTTACAAAAACAAGTGAGCAAAACTTAAAACTTCATTGTAATTCCGTTACAACGAAAAATAAACGAATTTGTTACTTGGCTCATCAACATCCTTCATTCAATTTAGTGGTGGTACCATGTCTCATTTTCAATGAAAATAAAAATTTGCAGAAGAAAATAAAACAAAACAAAAAAACCACCGAATATAATCTATAAAGTAATCATTTTAATATGTATGTATATATGTATATTTTATGCAGACAAACAGAAAAAAAATCTATGATAAAGCGAATGTATTTTTGTAATATACTTTTCGTTAATTCTTTTTTATTCTTCATTGTAGAATATCACCACACTCAGTGAAGTTGGAAATGCAAATAAACAATTACAGGAATAAGAAAATAAAGCAAAATAATTATCATCGAATTTGTATTGAACTTTTGTTAAACAATTGAATTGTATTTAAAAATGAAAAGAAACCAACCTTAATTTGTGGTGTTGTATTTTCTATAGATCTATTGTAAATGTTTCTTTTTGTTGGTGTTATTATTTTGATTACTGTATAACGCAACGTTTTGGTTGTTGTTGTAGTTGTAATTTGAAATGAAAAGAAATATATGTTGAATGTTTATAATTTAATTTAACTTCCTTTTACCATCGCCTAGAACGTGCTATACGCGATAGACGTGCACGATTCTGTGAATAACTGCGACATGTAACAGAGGCCGCATTACTTTTTAAACCTAACAGCTAACTTAATAATTCTTTAATCTCCTTATGCATATGACATAAGAAATCCACATAGCTAGCTGAGCCATCTGTGCCACGATCTTCGATTAAGAAATGCCGGAATACACTTTCCAATTTATCGTTTTGGCGAACACATGTTACCTAAAAAGAAAAAAATATTGAGCAAATGCATTTACATATGTATTTTTTGATTACATACCCTCATGTAACGTGTACGTTCACTCATAATCCTCTCAATAATATTGGTAACTCGTTTCGCCAATGGAGTATCGCCGATTATTGCAAAACGTTCAGCATTAACCTGTTGTGTACACTGTACGCCAAACAAGGGTTGGATGAATGTCTGAGGCAATGACTGGCCCAACCAGACAAAGAAATGCACACCATTTTCCAAGATATATGCACCGTCGGGAGACATTTTCTCATGCGTACAACGAATTGACATGGGCAAATCGGTGTCATCGGGATCCACATTGTGTATGGGTATAAATCTTGGATATAGATATGATACGGATGTATTCAAGTCCATGGACAATACAAATTGTATGACATATGAACGATCGTCCAGTGTCATATCGGAACCACCAGATATGGCATCGTTCTTGAGCAAACAGGATACGTAAAGGGGTAATAGTTTCAAGCATTCCGGTAATATAAGTTGGCCAGCTGACGATGGTGTGGTACAATGTTTACGATAGCATGCCAAAATCTGTGCCGAGCGATGTATGAGATTATCTTTAACGGCCTTGGGTGTAAGTTCCATAAGTTTGAAACAGGCTTGTTTGGCAAAGAACAACATGATGGCATCAAGATCACAACTCTTAAAGACTTCGGCAATGGTTGTGGTGGCTTTAAGGGCCAAATTAAGGATACGTAAACGACGCTGACCACTGCATGAAGTATAGAGTAGAGCAATTTGTAGATAGACATTTTCCTCGGGTGGCAATTTATCATCATGTTTAATTTCAATGGCAATCGATTTACTGCAATCTGGAGAAAATAGACATTTTTAAATTTCAATACACTTTGAACAAAAATCATCTTCAACTTACCAACACTGCCCAACTCAACATCTGTGGTATTTGTCATGAAGAAATGTCCATAGAAATCGGTGGCTCTTACGCCAGCCGAGGTGCGTACACGCATAACAGCATCAAAGGCAATTGGACGAGAAACATTTTTAATAACATCCTCAATTAAACGTTTACCATCAATGTCAGCCTGCAGCGAAATAAAAAGAAAACAAAATAATAATCATTAAGGAGAATTGAAAAGAAAAAAATTGTTATGGCTCACCTGGAAATATGTATATTTATAAACCTCACCACCGGTCAAACGTGCCACCTGACCAATTGTGGCAATATCAATGTATGAATTGTTAAACAAAAATAAATCCACCGAACAGCCGTTCTGTACACATTCCTGTCCCAAATTATTATACGATTGACATTGAGGTATGAGTACGGTTTTCTCTTTTTCAGTTCCCAATAGTTTGCGATCGTCACGATTCTTTAGTTTTCCCGGTGCCTCGGCAATTGGTAGTGTGGAATTGAATACCAATAGTTTACCGGCACAATTGGATGCCTTTAATGCCTCGAGACCAGCTTGTATGGCAGGATACAGAATTGTTTCGGTTTCCTTGGTGTCGACAAACATTTTTGGTATTTGTTCCATTAGAGCATCAATGACAGCTTCAGATTCTTCGGGATTACACAAGAAGCCATCCAACAAAGGCATAAACATGTCCTGAAATAGATTAAATAAATTATTTTGTGAGTATATAATAAGACACGCAAATGAAATTCAATTGGAAATAGCGAATACCGTCATATATTCTACTTACATGTACATCACCTACTACCATCATTTGTGGTTGGGCCAGGCTGCTCTTGATATTATAGAAATGTACCGTGCTATTGTAGGTAATAAAACCAACACGCATTTTCGATTTATCTTGACCCTGATCAACGGGCAAATGTTTTAAGATATTTTTAATTTGTGAACACAAAAGATGGACCAGTCCCGATTTGATGGTATTATAAGAGACATCAATGACAAATATAAAAGCTGGAATTTCGGGAGGAGTATTATTCTGAAAATATTATTTAGAACATAATTAGTAAAAATAGACAATAGTTTTATATTTCTCAAAACATACTCTACAATAATCCTTGGTGGCCAAAAATTCATAGGTGCCCAAAACCAGTTCAGGACGTTCATATTTATCCACACGTTGTCCAGTATGATCCAAATGTTGGAAATATTCCGTTGGCACTAGGAAAAAAGAAAGAAAAGGCACATTTATTTTACAGCCACAATACAATAACTGCCACTACTGCTACTTACCTTCAGTGCTACCTTTACACATTAAACATTGGAAACGACGTCCAGCATCAACAAATTGCATATTCGGTGACATGTAAGCCTTGCAACGATTACAACGGATTGGTCCCAATTCACCAAAATTAACAATTGGTGGTTCATATTCACCCTCAGCAATGCGTGCATATGGTGATACAATCAATGAAAATGGAAGAGCGGTGGTTTTTAGCGTATCTGCTGTGGCCGGTACAGAATACAATGATGATCTTATAAATCTTGGCGATGAATTGCCTTGATCCTGTACCACATATTTGGTTGTCACTAATGGTGGCAGCAGACCAGCTTGATTGGTAACAAATGCACCGCCAGCATTGCGTTGATTTTCAGTCATAACTTGTATGGGATTTGGCATTTGATCGGGATCGAGACGTCTTTGTTGTTGGAATTGTTGTTGTGGTGGTTGTTGATACATACCGCCAGCTGGTTGCTATACAATACAACACAATTCGTGTTACAAAAATGAGAGGTAGAACTAAAGTTAAATGGAATATAAAGTGGTTTCCAATAGGAACATGACAACTTTTTAATTAACCAAAATAAAATGCAAATCATGAAGCAGATTTAACATATAAGGGAGGAAATCTAGAGTCTTGTGTAAAATGTCAGCTAAAATGGTCTGTGTGATTCCCAATTCTTGAGAATGACATGGATTTCAGTGATTTGGATCCTTTGTTATGGACGACTGAAGTAAGCGATATTCTCAACATCTCGACCAACACACATGCAAAATGTATGCTCAACATTTTTGAACTCAACTTGTTATTACCTGTCCTGGAGCGAGAATTGCAACCAAAAATTGAAGATAACGTTGACAGTTCGACAACTAGCGTACGGATGCGTTCACAATGTAAAATTCAATGTTGTCATGTCACTATTGGAAAACCCTTTACTTACATTATAACCAGGTCTTCCTGGCATTGGTTGTTGTCCGGGATAACCACCAGGCATTGGTGGTTGTCCAGGTTGTTGCGATGGATAACCAGGCATTCCACCGGGCTGTTGTCCTGGATATGCTTGTTGTTGTCCTGACATTGGTGGCATACCATAGGATTGCTGTTGTCCAGGCATACCGGGTTGTTGTTGACCGGGCATGGGTGGCATACCGGGTTGTTGTTGGCCGGGCATGGGAGGCATACCGGGTTGTTGTTGGCCGGGCATGGGAGGCATACCGGGTTGTTGTTGGCCGGGCATGGGAGGCATACCGGGTTGTTGTTGGCCAGGCATGGGAGGCATACCGGGTTGTTGTTGGCCAGGCATGGGTGGCATACCGGGTTGGTGTTGGCCAGGCATGAGTGGCATACCGGGTTGTTGTTGGCCGGGCATGGGTGGCATTCCCGGTTGTTGTTGCTGTCCAGGCATTGGAGGTTGTCCAGGCCTTGGTGGCATTTGAGATTGTCCACCGGGATAACCTTGATTGCTTTGTTGCTGTTGTTGTTGTTGACCTGGCATGGGTGGCATCATGGGGGATGATTGCTTTAAAAATAACACAAAATTAAAATTTATTAAGACTATTTGAAATTACAATACTAACAACAAATACATACCACTGGTTTTTGTTGTTGTTGCTGTGGTGGTGGCATATGTGGCAAACCTGGTAAATTTGCACTATTTACAGTCATTTGATTACCGGGACCAGGAATATTTTGAGCTGGTGGAAGATTTTGTCCTTGAAGAACTGGTGTACCTGCAGTTGGTGGTCTAGATGATGGTCCATTTGGATAGGGTGCAAAATTGTTATTATTATTTACTGCAGGTGGAGCACCACCGGCCATAGGTGGTGGACCGTTTGATAACGTTTGCTGCTGTTGAGGTGGCGGTAGTGAGCCTCCCATAGATGTGGGTGGTGCAGGCATATTTGCATTGTTAAATGTTTGTGGACCTGGTGGGCCGGGTGGTTGTTTCATGGGATTTAAATTCATGCTGCCCATCGATTGTGTTAACTAGAATGAAATCGAAAAAATCGTATTTTATTTAAATGGGCAAAGAAATGGAGAAAATAAGAGCTGCTGAATTTTTTGATAGGAACAACAACAATCCTAAAGTTCTGCAACATTTTTCTGAAAGACTTTTTTATTTATATACAATACGTAATTCATGTAAGTTCCGGAATAATTTCTGATTGAATGCAAAAGTTCTAAAAATGCATATGCTCATAACTTCCGACATTTACGTACAGTAGACCATGTTTATAAAAAATGGACATGGTTCATTTTAATAGAAAATTTTTCAAAATTTCCCTTCGGGTGGGAATTACAAACTTTGTCCCATGGACAAAATCGCGATTAAAAGTTCATCTCCTAAGGCAATTTAGAAAATTCAATGGAAAAATGTAAATCAATATCCCAACAATTAGGGAAATTAATTTTAAGCTTAAGTCTTGAATAAGACCTGGTCGAGGATTGCTCTTAGAGGTGTTTTTCTTGTAGAAATTCACACTTCCTGCAAAATTCCACTGGAACGCAATTAACTATGAAAATATAAGTATGACTTTCTAGAAGTTGATGTCCCTATTACCTACTTCCCCTGGAATGGTGTACCCGGTGTTGTCATCTATCCATAAGAGAATGTCTTAAACGGCATATACATTAGAACTTTTTACCGGGTTAACCTACTTTATGATATTATGGATTTATTTGACATATATGCAAAGGAATTGGCAATTGAAACCCACTGGGTTAACGAAATCCGGTTAAATGTAAACGTACTATTAAATTCCCAACCAAATTATGAGCTGAAGTTTTATTTTATTTTTAAATTAATTTCCCAGCACACCCTTCCTCTTAATTTCACATATTAATCTACACTTGTGGAAGAGTTCATTCAAGAATATGACCTACATTCATTTTTTAAACAACAAACTGATCTTATCACACTACACTCGTAAACATATTTTGATTTTCTTATTGGAAATGCAAGACAAAAATCAAAGCCCCTAAGCCTCGACTCATCTGAAGATTATGATAGTGACAAAGATGTTGAACAAGCACACACGCTCATGCACAGTCACGAAGAAAAAACGGAAGTTTGATAAAGAAACTGTGTAAAGACAATAAACAACAACAACAAAATCAAATTATGAAATATGAACCCTATGAAGCATACAACAGTAATGTCAGCATAGATAATGTGAAAAAAAAAGAAAAATGCAAATCTATAATTAAACAAAGATCGATAAAAACATTTTTTGAAAGTAAACCCTTCATACCTGCTGTTGATAATTTCCATTCATGATATTAGGTTGCTGTGGTGGAGCTGCTACTGCTGCTGGTTGTTGCTGTTGCATAGGTGGTGGCATTTGACCAGGCATAGATGTAGGAGGGCCTGGCTGTGGAGCGGGCCAGCCGGTTGGGGGATATTGTTGCTGTTGAGTTGGTGCACCGCCTGGAGGTGGCATCATTTGCTGAGTTGGTGGTTGCATTGTTGGCAGAGGACAATATGCATTTGGGTTCATCATTTTTCCACACTTATTGGTATTCTACTTTTCTTTTTTATTTTCACAATTTTCTCAAGCACATAAACTTTTCTCTCCGCTGTTTCTCTACAAAACTCCTTAGCAAGCTAATCGATTTGTGGAAAAATATCTTAATTATTTTTGTTTTATTTTCTTTATTATTTTGCACTTTTACCCGTCGATCCTCGTTTGTTCAATCGTTCGTTGGATACTCTGGTGGTGTTCGCACACACAGTATTATTAACACGTAAACACTACAGTTGCAATGACCAAACAAATACACACCTAATTAGCTCTTATTTCGGTTTATCGAATACGTTTGGCATTTGACAATTGACGTGCAAGTATTCCAGACAAAATAATAATGTAAATAGGCTTAAGAAAATTTATTAATTTTCTTTCTGTATTGAAATACAAAATTTTTCTCTTTCAACACTTCCACGTCAGCCCAACATTAGAGCTGGCAAGTAGACGATGTTATTATCGAGGTATCGATAATATTAAACTCGATAGTATTGGCACTATCGACATAAACGAAGAAGGCCGCGAGAGAAGGAATGTTGGATGAAGTTGAAGAATCAAAACAAAAGCAAACAAGTGACATTTTGCCACGTACATTTCAATGGGGGTATGTTCAGTGCGTATGTTATTGCCAGTTTGAAATAAAGTTTTACAGCAAAGGGAAAATCTAATAAGAATTGCATGGTACAATTATAAAAGCTAACAGCAAAACCCAGCTGATCTGATTCCAACGTAATACTAGTGTCAATATGAATATGACAAATTATGTTTGGGAAAAATGTACTCCCGTATTACATTTACTCAATCTATCTGCTGGGAAAGTTCGAGGAAGCAAATCTTTCTTCATGGAATAATTCGCAATTCCCAGCATTTTCATATGTGTTACACATATAAGTGGCAATGGCTCAATCATAGGAAAGATGTGGAAGCAATAGAAATATAAATTTAATAGATTTTCATTCATGTATTTCAATTTTATTTTGAGAATTCGAAAATATAACATTTTCAAAATAAATATAATTTGTTGATAACTTTTTTGTTTACATTTTTCTGTCAAATGACTTTGATAAGGTCACCCAGGTAGCAATCGAAATCGGAAAACAGCTGTTTTTTCTCAAGTCTAATGTCAAAATTTTGATCTTTGTTTACGTTTTGACAGTAAACTTGAGTGGGTGCCGATATCCAGCTGGTCTCCCTGGGTGACCTTATCTATAGGCCTTCCTTATAACAACAAATTTGCATATGGGTTTTTGTATAATTTGTTATACAACAACACTTGCTGTTACCTTCTATTATTATACCATGTAAAAATTGCTGAAATATCGTTATGCCATGTTGTGACAAGATTTTAAACCATGTTATTTGTCTAAAAATTACAGTATGTTTTTTCAACTACTTCTAATCGCACGGAAATTATGGTACAATAATTACATGGTAGGATATATTGAGGTGAACGACACTAAAGCAACTCTGTAAGTAGTGGCTTCTTCTGTCAGATATAAAATAAATATACGCAACAGAATTTTGTGTATATTTGACATTTTTTAATACTTGACTAAAACGCGAAAAATGTATGAAACGCCATGATTTCTTCCCAAAATGTAGTAAGGAATGTTTTTTTATTTTCAAATTAATATACATGATTACCGTGACGTATACGCTATGCAATTGACGTTTGAGATTGAGTGGATTTAGTAGTCTAAACGTTTAAGTACCTTTAGGTGGGTTTTATTGGTAAAAAACCAAATGTTTATTGAAATTATATCTATTTATTGGAATTAATTTTGTGTGGTAAATAGAGGTAAACTGACGCCGATTTATAACTTATATCGCAATAATGTACATTATCACGACTGAAGCTATAGTCTAAACGCGCCTCTTGCCGTGCGGCAAATAATATCCTATCGTTTGTAAACGCAGAATATCATATCTATATCTAAACCAAATAAACAAATATTTTGTATATATGTAAATTAGTATATTTTGTCTAAAATAATACAAATGTGATGTGAAATGTCCATAATTTGTTTACAGTGTTAATGCTACATGTTTGTCAAACATGTTTTATTATAAATAATTTGTATATATGTCAAATAATTTTTCATAAAGTAATTTAATCTACACTATTATCATTTACTACGTTTTCATTTTGTTCTATCTTTTTTCGACGACCCAAGGCATATGGTGGTTCACCATTAGTTTTCACATAAAATGTACCTCTTTTAGGCGTTGATGGTTCACCGCCCATTTTAAATTCCACACCAGATGTGGATAAAATCCATTCACTATCCGATTGCCTTTGACATAATGTACCCCAAAAACCTTTTTTACTCGTTATTGATTCGGCAAAATAATTATAGGCTCGGGAATGGGAACAACCATATATATAGCATTTCTTTTGATCTTTGCCAAAGTTAGGATAAAATGTAGCATGACCAACGGGCTCTTCAAAACCCAAACTACTGCTTGTCTGTATTGATTCAACATAATCGGCATCCGATGGATCCAGACGCTTATTATCATTTATATCACGAAATTTAGGTCCAGCAGGATCCAAGGCAAATATTGTATTTATGCGAAATGGATGAATTTGTTTACCAGCACTTCCGGCAATTTGTGCTCCCAGAGAATGTCCAATAAGATATACATCGCCAAAATACAGGTTTCCTTTCAAGTGTAGAAATCTCATAAATTCCGCCAACAGGAAGCCAAGATCTTCTATTAAATCGACTACGCCAAAATAATTTACATTCGAAGAGATTACACTCCAATCGACAACAATGACATTAAAATCTGTATCGTTGACACTGAATTTGTCATTTTCGTTGCCTGTCACATTATATACCTCAAGATCACTTAGCGGTAAATTTGTATCGTTGTTTGTACTACTACTGATGTTGTAGTGAATTGTTGTCGTTGGCTGGGCAAGTGACATATATGCATTTTTGACAGCTCGATTAAAAGATCCTTTACTTTGACTCATCCATCCATGGATAATAATTCTGAAATATTAAAAAAAAAGTAAAATGATATTATTATACAAAGAATAAACCATGATGAAATTATAAGGTGATGTATCAAAACAAAAACCTTTGTTTTTGTCTCGACCATCTGTCAAATTTTTCCATATAATATTTCACATGGTTGGCAACATCGCACATGGAATTTATGTAGAAATTACCATGATGCAATAATAAGGTGATGTATAAAAACAAAAACATTTTTTTTGTCTCGATTATCTGTCAAATTTTTCCTTATAATATTTGAAAAAGTTGGCAGCATTGCACATCGAATTCAAGTAAAATTGACAACTTTGACAGTTAATCAATACATCAGCTGCTTTAAATGGACTACATATTCATTGTGCCATGGAAATTACATACTTTGGCAGTTAATCAAGTCATCAGCTGCGCTAAATGGCCATCCAATAAACATAATTTTACATTTGAGAACTCTAGGTTGGCAACCCTTTTTATAATACGAGGTTTATCTGTATAATAGTATGTTTACATAGTACCGGATTTAGTTAAACCAGTGAGTTTCAATTGTCAATTCCACTGTATACATGTCAAATAAATCCTCATAGAATAGGTTAACCCGGTAAAAAATTCTAATGTAAATGCCGTTTAACACATGTAAAAGCATAATTGTTCTCTTCCTCTTTACTTTTTAAAAGAAAATCTTATAAAAGAGATAAAATGTCAAAATCGCCCTCAGAGTAGAAAAAATACGAGCGAAAAATGTCAATATTAGTTGGCAATTCCTCAAAATTATCACAATAACTAGTCATAATTTGGAATTATTGGCTACCATGACACAATAAATAGGTACCCAATTTAGCGCAGCTGATTATCCGATAAACTGTCAAAGTGCATAGATGAATTCAACGTGCAATGTTGCCAACCATGGGAAATATTTATAATAAATTTTATTATTATAAAATTTGACAGATGGCCGAATAAAAGCAGATGTTTTTGTTTTGGTACATTACCTTATTATTGCACCATGCTGCTACTTTTTTATTCGGGTTGATTAGGTACCGTAACTGTTTTCTTTTGGGTTCTAAAACGGAAATATTTATGGAATTGTCAAATCATAAGAATCGTTTTATTAAAACCAAAATGGAAACGTAGCCTAAGTCATTTTCAAGAGAAGTCTGCATGTGAAACATTTCGTTTTGAGGGTATGTCTGTTGAATTAAGAGAACCGTAATTTCTCATTTGCACTGATAAGTCTTAAACACATTTCACTTTCATCAACAAAGTCAGTCAATGTAAAGGCCACGGGTTTGTACTTGCTCTTTTTTTCATTCATAAGCTTAATGAAACATTAACGCTGGGCAATGCGGGAAATGCATATTGTATTTCCTCATTCACTGCGTTATCACTTTACTGGGATCATTAACAAATTGTTATAATTGATTACAGTCGAATGTGAATGTTGGAAATGAAATAAACTGCGATGCTGATCTGAATGAGGCATCTCATAATTCGAAATACAAATGACAACGAGAAAAATGTGTTTTTTTTACAATATTATTTGTTTGGCAATTCTCATTACATTATAATTAAAAAAACTCGTACAATATTTGGTCTGTTTCCGCACTGCAAGAATCTACTATTTTTACTATGATATCGAAAAAATTTTAAAATCTAGTAGATTCTTGCAGTACGGGAACAGATCAATTATTTATAATTAAATATCATGGAAATATTAGCCCCGTTTTTGAATTCCCCGGATAACTACACCACAAGAAAAAATATGTTTTAAATTTCAAATTTAAAAAGGGAAAATCGAATACAATTTCAATTAATAGAATTCTAGAATTCTAGCAGTTTCCGGAATAGAGCTAATATGTTACTTATGTATATATATATATATATATATAATGGTTGGCAACACTGCACATCGAATTCAAGTAGAAATTACCCACTTTGATAGTTAATCAAGACATCAGCTGCGCTAAATGGACTACCATTCATTGTGCCATTGTTTAACCTATTTATTGTGTCATGTCATGATTATATCCATGATATAATTATTCCAAAGTAATAGTACGTTTACATTATATCGGATTTCGTTAACCCAGTGGGTTTGAGTTGTCAATTCCATTGTAGATATGTCTATTAAATCAAGATAAAGTGGGTTAAACCGGTAAAAAATTCTAATGTAAATGCCGCTTAAGGCATAGCTACCATCTGATTACATTTTTGGTCTGTTCCAGTACTTTTTAATAGTATATCTATTGCTCTCAGAGTACAAAATAATCTAAAAATGTTCGGAAAAGCAAATCTAGTAAATATGCCAAAATTAGATGGCAATACTTCAAACTCAACATAACAGCAAATCAGAAGTAGGCATTCCTGTTTACCATTTTTACTCGGTCAAATGTTTCGAGTAAAAAGTTTACAAAGAGAACGCCATTTTGTTTTGTACTCTCTTAAATTTGATTCAATGTTTTACCAGTTTTGTGGGTTGAGGAACGTACCATCTGATTACATTTTTGGTCTGTTCCAGTACTTTTTAATAGTAAATCTAAACATTTCAAAATTGCTCTCAGAGTACAAAATAATCTGAAATGTTCGGAAACGCAAATCTAGTAAATATGTCAAAATTAGATGGCAATACTTCAAACTCAACATAACAGCCAATCAGAAGTAGGCATTCCTGTTTACCATTTTTACTCGGCCAAATGTTTCGAGTAAAAAGTTTACAAAGAGAACGCCATTTTGTTTTGTACTCTCTTAAATTTGATTCAATGTTTTACCAGTTTTGTGGGTTGAGGAACGGTTTTCGAGTAAAAAGTTGCAAAACATGTAAAATGAGTAGATTCTTTAAGGTTCTGGAACGGAACTTTTTTAGTTAAATCAAATTACTTTGTTAGGGGTGAAACAAACATTTCCGTTATTCCCTAGTGGATTATGAGAAGAAATCATAACGTTTCATTAATTTTTCATGTTTTAATTGTGTATTGACAAAATGTGCAATACACACAAGAACCAGTTGCGTATATTTATTTCATATTTGACAGAAGAAGCCACTACCCACATTGTTGCTTTTTTTGTTATTTACCACAAGCTGTGCTATAGTCACTTTTTTTGAGTTTCTTATTGCTGTTTTATGTACTAATTGTTCATATTTACATACATCTAGATAAACAAATAAAAAAATGTGAACTGAAATTTATCGATCATTGAAAAAATGTAAAAAATAAAAAAAAATAAATTTAGAATTTATTTGTAAACTGTCGTTTGTAAACACAGGTTTGCAGAATTACACAACACACAATTCAGAGTGGATATAATCTGTTTTTTTTTCAAGTCTAATGTCAATAATTTGGACTTTGTTTTTGTTTTCATAATGGATGTCAATTCACAATAGTGGATGTTGACAGCAATGTTGAGAATCAGCTGATATGCAGCTGGTCTCCTTGAATGATCTTTTTAAAAGACCTTGATGTTCGTTTACTCAATAAATGGTACAAATTGTTGTACCTTTACGCAAAATATAGTAAAAGAGAGAGAATTGAGGGAGCAGATTTGAGTATTTGCAAATTTTTACAATGAAAATTTAAGCAGTAAAGATTTTCCAGTAACGTCAGCTGATAATTAATTAGCTTTTTGTTATGACTTGCAAACAAACAAAATAATTTGTGCTCACGAAACTTGAATTTTTATATATAAATGGACAAAGAAAGTACAGACAACAATAATAAATAAAAACAACAACATTTCTCTTCCTATTATAATATTTGTACCAAACTTTTTGTTTTGATACATCACCTTATTATTGCATAATGAGACAAATAATATAGGTTTACACTGAATTGTCTATTATAAACTAAGCGTTATTATAAATAGTAATAATATTGGAAAAAAATATTGGAAAATAAAAATAAACAAAAAAAGAAAAACATAAACAACGAGTTTTTCAATTGACCTAGAGCCAAAACAAAAATCCACAAGAATAGTAATAATTTTCAAGTATACAATCAATCACAACTTTAAGCGTGTTAAGCTAAGGTCACACTACGCTAATATTTGACTCAAATGTCTATTTTTTGTTTGCCCCAAAAAATGTCAAATTTGCACACTCTTGATTTTGTGTTCACATTACACTCAAATATTTGACATATTTTGTTTGCTCAAACAGCGAGCAAATAGTGTCAAATAATGTAATGGGAAAACATGTTTGACGTGGGGTCACATTGGAAAATATATTTGCACCTTGAAACAGTTTGATCAAACTGTCAGAAAGCATACATTTATTTGCCAGCATTATTTATTATAAATTTGAAAATTTCCTTGCTACCACATTCTTTAAAAAGGTGAAACGTTGAAACTTTTAAGAGAAGTGATGCATTCTTTGCTACAAAAAAAAAACATTGCATTTACGCAACTTAAAAAAGTTCACGTAAGTATGTCTTTAAACTTACCGCGTTGGATGATCAGCATTGAAACCGGATCTTATGACACTATCCACATCGTCGGTGATTATTTCGCGGCCACATTCGGGAAAGTCACGTTTATATAAATAGAATTGCATTTTAACGCGATCATTGCTGACAAATGGTATCCAATGTTTGAAGAATTTTTTCAAAAATGACTTATCAAAGTGACGTTTGAAGAAACCAGTTGGTGCCTTTAGGGTATGGACACAAATGCGATCGGTGCCATTCACCTCATTCGATTCAGCAGGGGCACACGCCACTGGTGTTAATACTAAATGAATGAAAGAAATAACACACACACACACATAGAAACATAGAAAAAGCCGGCATTAAAACAAAGAAATCTCAAACAATAGCTTGGGTAACATTAAATAACATTCTAAAAAAGAAAACGTTTTTGTTTACCATTTGTCAAAAATATATTTAACACAATAAATAACAATGTTATTTTAATTAATTTTGACCACACCTCCGGAAATGCATACATTTTGTTATTGTTGTTTTACTTTTTTACTCTTAACAGATAATTTCACTTCGATTACGAATTCAAAATTCAATACGAAAATGTGTGACGATGCCAAAAATTATGAATGACCAATTTAGCTTCAGCTGCATGAAAAAAAAACAAAAATGCTACAACGCTGACCTGCTCAATGGTGAGTTAATAACCGACTGACCATTGTTTATTTTGGTTTTCTGATCAAGCAGCGAAATTGAAATGCCAGCCAGCCAGTATGTGATTTGTGGACGCACAGTGCATCCAACAAGATTGTTTTTATAGCCTCAACCGTAAAATGGAAGTTACATGAAGATAACTAGCATGTAAAGATAATCTCGAATTTATATAATTTTGAGAATTATTTAAAAAGTAAAACAATCAGGTTTTGTGCGATAATTGCTTAAATTTATTCTGAAACTTGTTGATAGTACATACTTTAATATTTATTATTGTTAACGAAAAAACGGTTTTGCGGATTTCAAAAACTGTTATTCGGATTTCAAAATCTGTTTCGAATTACGAAATCCACTCGATCTCAAATGTCAATTCTATAGCGTATACGTCAAATATAATCCACTGAATTTGTGAACATGATGAAATGCGGATTTACATATAACATTTGATCCTGATTAAAGGACGAATCAGGGTTTACTTTCATAATCAGGCTGAATTTACCATGATTTTTCATACAAATTTATATCATCGTGCGGCAGGGTTTATTTTAAAGTACATTTACATATACGATTTTAAATCGACTCGATTAACGAAATCCAAAAATACAACCTAATTGTTTACACATACCTTTAATCGTGATCTAAATACGGATCAGCTGATGTTTTTTAGTATACATACAAAATTATAAATTTGCTGCAAAAAATTTGTTTGCAATTTGAACATGAAACGAAGAATTACAACAATGGAATTGTTTTTGCAATGCTGTGATCGTTTGGAAATTATAAAAAAACAATGAAAAACACAAAATTTCTATAAATATTTGTTATTTATTTGCAAAACTTGCAACAGTTTTCACATGTTGTTTGTTTTTAAATTTTAAGGTTGCCAAAATCAAAATTATTTACAGGAAAACAAAAATTATTTACAGAATTTTTATGTTTTTAGGTGTTTTTTTTTACATTCCAAACGATCATAACATTGCTAAAACATCTCCATTATTGTAATTTTTCTTTTAATTTTCAAATTGCAAACAAATATTTTTGGCATAAATTAATAATTTTGTATGTATACTAACAAACATCAGCTGATCGGCATTTATATCATGATAAAAGGTATGTGTAAACAATTATTGTGTATTTCTGGATTTCGTTAATCGAGTCGATTTAAAATCGTATATGTAAATGTACTTTAAAGTAAACAAACAAACGATATACTTAAAGTATTGCCATGTTGGTACTTTGAGAAGAGAGATGTATTTTTTGGTACAGACGCATTGTTATTTTTCAATTTATCTTGATTTATTATACAATTTCGAGCAAACCGATATTAGTGGGTTTAATTTTTTTACATTGAACCGAGTCAAATACACCTTAAATGACTTTATGAGGATTTATTTGAAATATCTTTAAAGGAATTGCCAGTATAAACCCACTGGGTTAACGATATCCAGTACAATGTAAACGTACTATTCACCTACTTTATGTGGATTTTTATATCAAATGCAATGAAATTGACAATTTGATTCCACTGGATTAACGAAATCCAGCACAATCTAAACGCGCTTTTAGCTTAGCCATTAAATCGAGATAATGCATAATATCATCATAGATACTTTAATATAAACGTGACCTAATGTAAGTAAAATATATTCCAACAGAGTTGTTAAATTTTGGCGGTCGAAAAGGAAATCTATGTTCTTATATTCTCTGCTCCATCCCTTTGTATGAACTGTATTGGTATTAAAGCAATAACTACAATGTTCATATAGGAACGCCAACAGAAAAAGAGAACACAACATAAGTGTGTAAAACTATTTACTCCCGCAGCATGCGTCAAAGTTATCATGTGTATAACTTCTGATGGTGTTAATCGGTTATTGTAATTATTATCTCATTGTGGAGAAGACAGTAAATTAAAAAGGGAATGAATAATAAAAGATGAACAATTCGGTATGTATGTGACGTTTATACGATGGCAGAGAATGTAAAAGTAAGTTTGAAATGAATAAATAGTTGGATGCTTTATAATTTCTTAGTTTTGGGAACTCCTCCTTTATTTTAAACCTTCAAAACCTTTATTTGTGTATATCAATTATACAAGGTAGGGTATCTTTTGTCAACAAAAAGAAAATACACCTCTACATTGTGGCCTATAATGTCAGAATAAATAAAACTCATTGCAACAAGTCGTTCGGTTCATTTGACATATTTTTAACATTTTACCAAAAATGCAAAAAAATTAATGGAATGCCAGGTTTTCTTTCTAAAATTAAATTGGGAATATATAAATTAGATATGGATTAATTCACAAATCGATTTCGATTAACGAAATTCAAAAATACATCTTAACTGTTAGTGTATATACAACATTTTTAATTTGCGCCAAAAATATTTGTTTGCAATGTATTAATTGTTTGGAAAATACAAAAATTCCTTCTAAACACAATAATTATATCAATAATATGCATTTTCTTTCGTGTTTGCATTTGACATCTATTAAATATAAAAACAACATGTAAAAAAATTTGAAAATATTGTGTGATTTAAAATATAAATCGGATTTAAAAAATAAATAGAAATATAAACCCTGCTGCACGATTATTGAGCCTTTAGCACCGAATCAGCCTTTCATCATGATTAATTTCGAGGCAAAACATAGGCTTCGCATGGTACAATTTTCAAGGTAGGGCAGCATAAGTTGAATAACAAAAAAAAAAACAACTATGTAGGTTGTGGCAACAAGTGGTTGTGTTCATTTGACATACGATTTCTTTCCAAAATCTAGTAGGGAAAACCATGAAATATTTGTTTCATCCATAACAAAGTAATTACCTTCAGACCGGGCGCTTTAAACACATCATTTTCATTTTAATTAAGTTTAAATATATTTTAATTTATTTATATATCAAAATATGTATTTTGATTTGTAATAATTATACCATGAGGCTTCACAGAAAAAGCAATAATGTCAGAATATATAAAAGTAAATGCAACACGTCGTTCTGCTCATTTGACATATTTTTTTAACATTTTACCAAATACGCGAAAAGTGAATGGAATGCCAGGTTTTGTTTTCAAAAACGAGTTGGGGATATGATTTACGTATTGACTCATTCACAAATCATATATTTCTTCTTACAGATGTTGTAAAATTCATCTTCAAACAAATCCATTTTCGAATATATTTTGTTATATTTTTTAAAACAACGAAAAAGCCAGTGAAAATAGCCTTAATTTATTTACAAGATTTCGTAAATCCACATCATATAAAATGAGTATTTAAATGCGCTATAACTGAAAACCCTAGCTTCTTTGATTCCTATGTAACAGCCTATGTGATAGTATGTATTATCTAGATTTAATTGCTAAACAGAGCTATATTTGCCTCGATCCGTTCATCATATCATTACAACTTTTTAAACGACATATACATTAGAACCGGGTTAACCTACTTTATGAGGATTTATTTGACATATATGCAAAGAAATTGACAATTGAAACCCACTGGGTTGAGGATATCCGGTTAAATGTAAACATGCTATTACTAAATCGAGATAATACGGTTATAGCGTGCTAGTAGGGACCAAGTCGAGTATCCCTCCTTCTGTTTTACTCATGCATGCTTCCAAGTCAATTCTGATAAGACCATTAGATGTATGTTCGCAGTCAGATTCGAATTAACACTCCGGTTTTTTATCTTTAGAAATTTTTTAAAATTATTATTTTGTCATCAGTAGTAGTGTAACTTCGGTTAATGTGGACCACCATTTTCTTTTTTTATATTGTGGGCGTACCAAATGTAAAAAATGAAAACAAATTATTTTCAAGACATAGTATATTTGTCGTCTAAATATATTCCAGATCAAACATTATATATACATAATATATATATTGCCTATTTGTCAAATAAATCCTCATAAAGTAGGTTAACCCTGAAAAAAGTTAAAATGTAAATACCGTTTTAACTATAAAAATGTTATTGTATTATATTTAAAGAACTCAAAACTGCGAACAAAAACAACTTGACGGGTAATATGGACCAGTATGTGCGGGTAATGTGGACCAGTAAGTTAAATGTTAGGTTTTGGACTGGTTGTGATAAATTTCAATTTATTGCAATCTTGTGGAACAATAAATGCAAAAATATATGGGTATGAACCTATATATTTTTGGAATGGCCCCCATTTAAGGGTACCGCCGTATTCTGAAGGTCCTAGCTTCAATAAACAACCGAAGTAGCTGTAATTTCGCATATCGAGTTTTCAGAGGATGGAATACCTCCTCATGGAAATGTTTTTAATATGGGGCCATGTTTGAAACTTGTCCCCAAGAAAATGTCCCGTTGACATGAATTGAACGTACTTGATTATGTGATCTTTATGCATTTCTGAAACTTATGCTAAATATCATATCATTCGTCAAGATTAGACTCGTTTGCGTACAATGGAACAAATTTATGTAGAGCAAACTTTATACACGCTATTCTGTAGGCCACAGTCTTCAAAATTTAATCTCAATCAGACACCCGTTTGAAATATATGTGGAAGCTGTGTCTGCATCTGCACCATTTCCAAAATAAAACTCAATAACGTCATTCTAACCTCAATTCGATACGTTGTACAAAATTTACTTCAACTCCAACGAACATATATGGGAGCTATATCTAAATCTGAACCGATTCTAACGAAATTTGCAAAAGATTAATTTATATTAACTTCAATACATTGTACAAAATTGTGTGTCAATCGTAAAAATTTTAGGTCTGTAGTGCACAATTTACATAAAATCAGGGGAAATATATATGAGATCTATATCTAAATCTGAACCGATTCTCACAAAACTTATCACACATCATTCTAGACCCAATTCAGTACGCTGTTTCAAATTACGTGCAAATCGAATGATATATAGGGACCTTGATGCACCATTTACATAAAATCGGACGTAAATATATATGGGAACTATATCAAAATCTGAACCGATTTTCCCCAATGTCAGTAGGGTTCGTCCTTGGGGCAAACAAATGAGCTATACCAAATTTCATCCCAATCGGAGTATAAATGCGGCCTGTACTTTGTTTACAATTTAACACCAACAGACGGACGGATGGGCATGCATAAATCGAATCTGAAAGTGAATCTATGCATATTCTTGAAAGGAACCATGTGTCTATCTCATGTCTTTTGCCTGTTACAAAAATATGCTCAAAGACATAATACCCTGTACCACAGTGTGGTGAAGGGTATACAATTTTACCTTCCTTATCAGAGTATTCCTTATAAGAGTATAGATTTGTTTGAAAAATATGTCTTAAAACTTTGGGACCAATAAGAGTCTTCGTAAAAGTCTTAGATGAAGTTCGTTATAAGCGCACTGGACTGAACAACTCTGATTTTGCAATAACAATAAATGTTTCTCCTTAAAGTATGCTATAAAATTAGTCAATATACAAAATACTGCCTAAAAATACCGGATTTGGTTAATCCAATTAATTATAGTACGTTTACATTGTACCGGGTCGGTTTAAATTGTCAATTCCATTGTTTATATGTCAAATAAATCCTTATGAAGTAGGTTACAATGACATGTTGCAATAATAAGAGGTAAGTTATTGGTAGCTGCTGATTACGATATTTTTGTGCCCTTGTTCTGTCAAAACAATAACAGAATTTTGTCTTAAAATAGACAAGATATTAAAATATTTTCAAATTTAGATGTCATTAACATTTAACATTATTTCATTCGAAAGTAAAATCTTTCAATATTTTGGGAAGAAATATTATTATTATAATTATATTTGCAACCCCATATTGGAAAAAAATTGACATTGCCTTAATTTTTCGTGATATTTTCCTAATTTAATAAAAATATCTCAACCTGTTGAATATGTTTATATGTAAATATGACATAATAAGATGTTACACTAGACTACATTTTTTTTTTGTTAATTTCGTCAAGTAAGCCTACATCTTATTATTGTAGCATTGGTTAACCCTGTAAACAGTTCTAATGTAAATGCCGTTTTAGAGTAGTATTCAAATTATATAAATTTGATTTGTCAGCTCTTATTTGTTAAAAATAAATTTCACTGGTTTCATAATTTCTTCGGTTTATGGGAATTAATCAATTGTTGAGCGAAGTCAATAATCCTAGTTCATTCGAGAGCCAGACATGTACTTTTCTAACACAATTGGTTATTCCGATGTTCCAGTGAGGAATAATGCACATCACCATAAAAGCTATACTCCAAACATGGCTTAAAGCTAGTTTTCGTTTACCCAGCAGGTTTAAATTGTTCATTCCTTTGAATATATGCCAAAAAAATCTCATAACCCACTAAAAAGTTCTAATTTAAATATTGTTTAACGGCCAATTATACACATACCCATTTACATATAGGTAATAAAGCCAATCACATAAATCAGTTTTATATATATTTTTCTGTTAAATGCGAGTACTATCTTCAAAAGTAATTTGTAAACTATTTTAGAAATTTTAAAATATTCTCATATTATTTTAAATTTCAAAATGTTCTCATTTTAGCACATACCTATTTTAATTTAAAAATTCCATTTTTATTTTACGGTATATAAATACCCTCTAAAGGTGTGTGTTTCATATCACACAGCATTTGAAGACACAACAATGAGGATTTTTACAATTGGAATTATTTCTGTACTTTTAGTACTCGTTCAAGCAGCATCCATCGAAGTTGGGGAACGATGTTCTTCGGAAGAACATGATAAAAGTTTTAATTTTGCTCTTGCGCTGAGTCGTGGCAATAAAATGAACATGGAAACTGATCCAGCCGATATAACAAGGACAATTAGAAATGTTTTCAACCGCATGAAGAGAGATGAACGTATGATTGATATTGGTATGCCGGAAATAGTGTTATATGGTGAAGTAATACTTGGAAACATGGAAAAATTGGCGGAAAACTGAGACCACTGATGTCAAAAAAAAATTAAAGATGAACAAATCACAAATTATGTTTAAATATATATTTTCTTAACAAAATACTAACTATAATCCATTATAATAAAAACTAGCTTTGCATTGAATTTTTCTTGCGTACATATCAGTGTCAATATGACATTTATTTAATTTAATGAATTTTTCGCAATATGGTTAGATGTGCTAAAGATTTACACTTTATATTACATTAATTTTTTGCGGTATTTTCCTTTTTTAATAAAATAGCAAAGGGTGACGTAGGAGATGACAGATATCAAGCAACGGCTCCGATTGACTTTCACATGGAAAAACCCAGGCTTATCCCTCGTTCATCTAAATTGTGGACACTGACCTCCCCGCGGTGTCACCTGGGGTAGCTATTTTCATCACCCGTTGAAATAGTGAGCTGATATGTGCCGCGAGTTCACCCATAAGAACTATACAAAAATAGGTTGAGGCGTCGGGTTAGTTGCCCACACTCGGAAAACCCAACCTACTAGGAAAAAGATAAGAAAAAGAAAACCAAACCCCCTAATGTTGGCGACCCTCGCACTTGGAATGTGCGCACGTTGTACAAAACAGGCGTAGTTTTCACTCTGACGGATGTACTCAAGAAGTACAAAGCCGATATTATTGCCTTACAGGAAATGCGACGGAAAGGGACAGACGTAAGTAATTAGATTACGCACTGTAGCTGCCATGAAACGAGATACGAATTTGGCTGCGGATTTATGGTTAACAGGAGAATAAAAGACCTCGTCTCCAGATTCACTCCAATAGATGACTTTATAGCTATAATCCGTATAAAAACGAAGTTCATCTATATCCGACCGAAGACAAAGATTAGCAGAACAAAAACATATTTTACTAGAAACAGCATTTGACCGCTGCCCTGGCCACGACATTAAAATTCTACTAGGCGATTTTAATGCAAAAATCGGAAATTGGGCCTCCATGAAGAAACATCCGACAATGACATGAGGTTGATTGACTTCGACGCAACAAAAAACATGGTAATTGGATGCACCAGATTCAAGCATATCGATATACACAAGACCACCTAGATCTCTCCTGATCAAGCAACGAAAAATCAAATTGAATATGTTGTGATAGACGGAAGGCATTCAGTGTATTAGACGTTCGATCGATCAGAGGAACGAATATCGATTCGGACCACTACCTTGTAGTAGCCAAGTTTCGCACTCGTCGTAATGTAGCAGCAGCCCCCTCCATACAAACTGCAGCAAAAGCAACTCTTGGGTACCAAAAACCACCACCAAGAAACCTATGTACGATCAGGAGGGTCGTAATGCTGCCGATGTGAAAAAGGCAGCGTATAGGACAATCCTGCAGACAGTAGCAACAATTATTGGAAGAAAAGGAGAGAGGAGAAACGTATTTTCTGAAAATAGAAGAAAGCGTGAGCGTGAGCAAATCGAGTCGTACAGGAGTCAGAATGAAGTCCGGAAATTTTACCAACGAGTAAAACATCAAACCGAAGGCTTTGGTGTAGGCACATCTTCCTGTAGAGATGAAGAATTAAACCTGGTGACATATACAGACAGCGTGTTGAGGATTTGGATGGATCATTTTGAAAAGCTTCTGGTATCAAATAGTAGCGGTGAAGCGGATATCCCAGAACCAATAATAGATGACGGTATAGAGTGTGTACCACCTAGCCAAAATGAAGTCAGAATAGCAATCAATCGGCTGAAGAATAATAAAGCATCAGGTGCCGGTGGGTTACAGGCCGAACTATTCAAGTCTGGTGGTCAGATGACCAAGCTGATGGTATCAACGCGCAAGACGTCCAGTAGACTCGGACCAACTGTGGAACTTGAGAACTACAGCTTCGAGGTAGTTAAAGATTTTATATACCTTGGTACCGCCATAAATAAAACTTATGACATCAGTTTTGAAATTCGGAGACGCTGATACTTCCCGTGCTGTTATATGGATCGAAAGCATGGGTACTCGCGCAAGCAGATGAGGCAGCCCTACTGGCCGATCTGCGTTGATGGTGAATATCGGCGTCGAATGAACAACGAATTTTACAATATATACGCGGAAATCGACATAGTGAGTCGTATTGAGCCATGTTTTAAGCTAATGAATGAGAATGCAGCAGCAGAAGGGGAAGGCCACGAATTAGATGGAAAGACCAAGAAGAATACAACATCTCGGAACATGGCCTTTCAAATTGGAGGAGATGGGCACAAGACAGAAATATTTTTTAAGCTCGGCTTATGGAACAACCGTTTTGTAACAAGACAGCTAGTAAGTATGTATTGGGAAGAATTCTTATTATAATCATATTTACAAGTCATATTACGAAAAAAAATTGACAATGGAGAAAATACACCTCTACCTTATGGGCAATAATTTCAGAATAAATGAAAACAAATGCAACAAGTCGTTCTGTTCATTTGACATATTTTAACATTTTACCAAAAACGCGAAAAATGAATGGAATGTCAGGTTTTTTTCAAAATCGATTTGGTTTATGATTTATATATTGATTCATTCACAAATCATACATTTCTTCTTAAGAATGTTGTAAAATTTTTAAAAACAATTTACCCAATTTTCCTGTTGGATCATTTTTAAAAACATACCTATTACCATGATACAATGTAACTGCAAAACTACAACAAATACAACTCAGCAACAACTACAAAGAACATTGTTATTGTATGTAACACTACTGACCATAAAATCTTATTTTAATATAAAATTCATGATGCTCTCAAACTGTATTTTTTGCATAGAAACTAAAGAACACACCTAATAACTACTCGAAAAGAAAAATTATCAGCTGATTTCTTATTTACTCTCTTTGTGTACAAATAAACATTGTGGCTACTATGCATCATACCCTTTCCTAAACAAGACAATTTTGTTGTAAATTCGTTCTTTATCAGGTCTTTGGCTTGTTCCCCCAATTCCAAAGCAAACAATTAGAGTTTGACTATTGTTTGCGCCGCAACTCTCTCCATCGGTTTGTGTTTGTAAGCATATGAACGGTAATAATAAGCATATGAACGAAAATTGTCTTGTGCAATTGAGAACAGATCCTTTTTCCTTCTTCTGATTTGAAAATTATATCATTCCTGATGTAAATGTTCTTTTCGAAGAAGTTCATTGTTAAATTGTTTAGAAGGTGGTTTCCCATCTTCCCCACCTATCGAACATAAATTCTAAAGCATCCTCGGAGTATGAAGGAAGGCGAAAGCAAAGCGGGATGCTGTAATTATTGCCGTACATCCGCATAAACGGGACATGTGCAGGATGTTGATCGCAGTTGCCGATAATCAGATGTATTGACAGTAATTATATTTCCCGAATTACATCTTGCAAAATTTTCTCCAGCATTTCCAAATTGTATTCCAGGATTGGTATGAAGCCAATTAGCTTTTTACACAAACCAAACAATTGAATTCTAAGAGCGTATATGACGTCCTTCTCACCTTCTTCAGTGGCTCTCAGCTGATCAAATTAGAGCATATGTTCGATCCTCTGCTGCCATTCCGTCTATTATTGCGATCAATGTTTCCAATACAGATTTGTCAAATGTCAGAATCCGTGGCTTCTGTTGCCAATTTAGGACGCATTCGGTACTGGGCAAGGAAAAATTCAGCACACTTCTGATGTACTTATATATTTTTTGTTGCATGGTGGCTGAGAGTCATTTGTAATGACACGTGCGAACTCTATAGCATTTTTGCTAGCATCTTTTCCTGGGAATATGCCGTTCGTACGTATTGACGCAACTTCTTCGCGGAGTGAAATATTTTCGGCTTGAGCAAGATGTAGCTGTTCTCTTAAATGCTGAATTATATATATATCGATACATTTCTCCAAAACCTCCAACTGTTTCCACCACTATTTAAAATTTGAAAAAAGAGAAATATGTACTTGGTTTGGAATTCAACAGCAAACGAACAAAAATTACATATTTCATTATTTTCCGGTAATGGCGGTGTTGTGTGTTCAATGAGGTCAATAGGTACAATAGTACAATCTGTACAATCAATAGCTGAATTATATATATATATTATATTATCTGCCCTGGATCCAAACATATACGGCTCAAAATGTTTGCAACAAATAGTGTGCGACTTTTTAACCACTATTCCATATTGCTCCAGTAACATTTTCCTCCACTCATCTTTCACACGATGGACACTAATTTCCGCTGGACAAAACTTCATCTTACAGTAGTCGCATGTTGGGATGCAGTATCTTCGTTGGTAAGTCGTTCACCAACATCCATATTGTACCAAATTTAGTACCATTTATTACTTTCTGTAGACGTAAGTACGAGTTTCTAAAACTCTAACAGTAATTTTATTTTTAAATATAAGTATATCATCTCTATCCTTTCTTTCACTCAAATTTAAATTGTACTAAACTTAGTACACTAAATGGTACTTATTTACATAGTACCATTTAGTGTCAGGGATGGAAAATGAAAAATGTGAAAAAGTACCAAAAGAGTACTTTTTTAATAAACTTTTTTTTCAAGAAAATAAAAAAAATATTCAGTTTTATAAAGATCGATTTTCAAGATATCATCACTTAGTCTAACTTTCTGATGGTAATAATATGAGAATTCTTGCTTCGATTTCGATTTTTCAAAACAATTTACCCAATTTTCCTGTTGGATCATTTTTAAAAACATACCTATTACCATGATACAATGTAACTGCAAAACTACAACAAATACAACTCAGCAACAACTACAAAGAACATTGTCATTGTATGTAACACTAGTGTCAGTTTGATATATCGAAAATGTAAAGAAAACAAATGAAATTGTAAATCAAAGGGTAACGAACTTCTGTTCCGATTTCTTTGATTTGAATAACTCGCATTTATACTCTTTTAAATTAATGTAATTGAAATTCTCAGGTCAATTGAATGCTGTAAAATTGGTTCCGAAAAAATTAAACGCAGATACTACTTTATTTTCCTATCGTCTGCAGATTTGGGAATATAGCAAAGATAAATGTCAAACATTTCACAAAATTATGTTGTATTTTTTGGTTCCCTATATATTGTAAAATTCAAAATGTGTTATCGTATTTTTATTTCAAGTATAATGTGTATAAAATTTTCCAGCTGGGACGTTCTACATAAATCAAAAATGTCATATCTAACTTGAAAGGAGTATTACGATTCAATCAAATCAGGTGACCGTTCCCGAACTTCCGGGTCAAATAACCGGGTACGTCCCCAAGGAAAAAAGACATCCTCTTAATTAGGGTAAAAATACCTACCTCTGGAAAAAATTTCAGAAAAATCTGATCATTTTTACTAAACTAGAGTTGTTCCAAAGTAGTCGATTCTTGCAGTACGGGAACAGACCATAAAATCTTATTTTTAATATAAAATTCATGATGCACTCAAACTTTATTTTATGCAAAGAAACTAAAGAACACACCTAATAACTACGCGAAAAGAAAAATTCTCAGCTTATTTCATATTTACTCTCTTTGTGTACAAATAAACATTGTGGTTACTATGCATCACACTCTTTCGTTAACAAGACAATTTTGTTGTAAATTCGTTCTTTATTAGGTCATTGGCTTGTTCCCCCAATTCAAAAGCAAACAATTAGAGTTTGACTATTGTTTGCGCCGCAACTCTCTCCATCGGTTTGTATTTGTAAGCATATGAACGGTAATAGCTTTGTGCGAAAATTGTCTTGTGCAATTGAGGACAGATCCTTTTTCCTTCTTCTGATTTGAAAATTATATCAGGAGTAACGAGGTCAATTTGTCTACCGAGTCTGTTCCTGATGTAAATGTTCTTTTCGAAGAAGTTCATTGTTAAATTGTTTAGAAGGTGGTTTCCCACCTTCCCCACCTATCGAACATAAATTCTAAAGCATCCTCGGAGTATGAAGGAAGGCGGAAGCAAAGCGGGATGCTGTAATTATTGCCGTACATCCGCATAAACTGGACATGTGCAGGATGTTGATCGCAGTTGCCCATAATCAGATGTATTGGCAGTAATTATATTTCTCGAATTACATCTTGCAAAATTTTCTCCAGCATTTCCAAATTGTATTCCAGGATTGGTATGAAGCCAATTAGGATGCTCCAGTTTTTACACAAACCAACAATTGAATTCCAAGAGCGTATATGACGTCCTTCTCATCTTCTTCAGTGGCTCTCAGCTGATCAAATTGGAGCACATGATCGATCCTCTGCTGCCATTCCGTCTATTATTGCGATCAATGTCTCCAATACAGATTTGTCAAATGCCAGAATCCGTGGCTTCGGTCGCCAACTTAGGACGTATTCGGTACTGGGCAAGGAAAAATTCAGCACACTTCTGATGTACTTATATATTTTTTGTTGCATGGTGGCTGAGAGTCGTTTGTAATGACACGTGCGAACTCTATAGCATTTTTGCTAGCATCTTTTCCTGGGAATATGCCGTTCGTACGCATTGACGCAACTTCTTCGCGGAGTGAAATATTTTCGGCTTGAGCAAGATGTAGCTGTTCTCTTAAATGTTGAATTATATATATATCGATACATTTCTCCAAAACCTCCAACTGTTTACATATTTCATTATTTTCCGGTAATGGCGGTGTTGTGTGTTCAATGAGGTCAATAGGTACAATAGTACAATCTGTACAATCAATAGGTACCTCATGGATTTCAGCCATAATGCAGATTCCATATGTACCACAGCCGGTAATATCCGTACTGAACTCACAAAAGGTACCTCATGGAGTCCAGCCGATGTCCGTACTGTAGACTCAATATGGTTTATCGGATGCAATAATCGGCTTGGTTTGGCAACTGTTGTTTATCTGCCCTAGATCCAAACATATACGGCTCAAAATGTTTGCAACAAATAGTGTGCGACTTTTTAACCACTATTCCATATTGCTCCAGTAACATTTTCCTCCACTCATCTTTCACACGATGGACACTAATTTCCGCTGGACAGAACTTCATCTTAGAGTAGTCGCATGTTGGGATGCAGTATCTTCGTTGGTAAGTCGTTCACCAACATCCATATTGTACCAAATTTAGTACCATTTATTACTTTTTATTTTTAAATATAATTGTACTAAACTTAGTACACTAAATGGTACTTGTTTACATAGTACCATTTAGTGTCAGGGATGAAAATAAAAAATGTGAAAAAGTACCAAAAGAGTACTTTTTTTAATAAAAGAGTACTTTTTTTTAATAAAAGAGTACTTTTTTCAAGAAAATAAAAAAAATTCAGTTTTATAAAGATCGATTTTCAAGATATCATCACTTAGTCTAACTTTCTGATGGTAATAATATGAGAATTCTTGCTTCTTTCGATTGCATTTGAATATGTATGCTATTGACTAATTTTAAATATAAAAATGTGAAAAAGTACCAAAAGAGTACATTTTTTAATAAAAAAGTACTTTTTTCAAGAAAATAAAAAAAAATTATTCAGTTTTATAAAGATCGATTTTCAAGATATCATCACTTAGTGTAACTTTTTGATGGTAATAATATGAGAATTCTTGCTTCTTTCGATTGCATTTGAATATGTATGCTATTGACTAATTTTAATTTCACTACCTCTTTCTCGACAGTCAATATACCCCAAACTAACATGAATTT